ATGAGGTACGGCATCAAGGGTTGCGGGCGAACAGGTTTCACCCACCCACGCCCTTCGCCATCGAACCAATGAGGTACGGCGTCAAGGGTTGCGGGCGAAGAGGTTTCGTCCACCCACGCCCTTCGCCATAGCGCCAATAAGGCACGGCGTCAAGGGCTGCGGGCGAACAAGTTTCACCAACCCACGCCCTGCGCCATAGTACCAATAAGGTACGGCGTCATGGGCTTGCGAGCGAAGAGGTTTCGTCCACCCACGCCCTTCGCCATAGTGCCAATAAGGCACGGCGTCAAGGGCTGCGGGCGAATAGGTTTCGCTAACCCACGCCCTTCGCCATAGTGCCAATGTGGCACGGCGTCAAGGGCTACGGGCGAAGATGTTTCGCCACATGCCATACCCTTCGCCATAGTACCAATGAGGTACGGCGTCAAGGGTTGCAGGCGAAGAGGTTTCGTCTACCCACGCCCTTTGCCTTAGTGCCAATAAGGCATGGCGTCAAGGGCTGCGGGTGAACAGGTTTCGCCAACCCACGCCCTTCGCCACAGTGCCAATATGGCACGGCGTCAAGGGCTGCGGGCGAAGAGGTTTCACCACACGCCATGCCCTTCGCCATAGTGCCAATGAGGTACGGCGTCAAGGGTTGCGGGCGAACAGGTTTCGCCCACCCACGCCCTTTGCCATAGTACCAATAAGGTATGGCGTCAAGTGCTGGGGGCGAAAATAAGTTGCTTCCAAGCTGGGGGGCTACGAGGACACCCTAGCCTCTGGAGCCTTTCGCCACACCCACACCCTTCACCACAGTACCCGCAAGGTACGGCGATAAGAGCTGGGAACGAAAATGAGTTGCTTCCAAGCTTGTCACGACCGGAAATAACCCAACGGGCGTTCCTTACGTGCGTGTATTATTCCTTGTCCTAGGAGGCAAGGTACACCAAAAGTTGATACAATATAGAGTTTAACAAGCGGGAGCGTAACTAGATAATTTATTACATGGGCAGCGAAGGCCCAGCACACATGAAGACAAACGAAAAACAGCGGAAGACTAGGGCGACGACCACAGGCGCTTGATGGCAGGCACGAGCTAGACACCAAAGCCTTCATCTTCCAGGAACTCCTCTTCTGGGTTTGGGAAAAATTGAGCAAGACTGAGTACAACTACCGTACTCAACAAGACACACCCATAAGTGCAGAATAAATGCAAGGGAGTACAAGGGAGCCATAATATAGGGGGTTAGGGTTTGCAGTAAACAGCATTAAAAGTCACTTAGTTGCTCAAAGCTACTTTGTAAACACGATCCTAGAGCTATGCAATATTATTAATCAAGGCCGTGAACCCACACGAACCTGCCTTAACCCAAGGCCTACGATGATTCAGATCGAACTGGCAACCCAACCCTGGGTCCCAGCTCGTCCCAAGCCAACCCAGGCCAACCATTCCACATTTAGTTGTTAAGCAGGTTTTATGAATTAAAACACTAACTTGGGTACATTGCTCGGCTTGCCCATAACCGAGGGCGCGGCTATTCGAATAGATTATACTCTGATCAGAGGTGTACATCTTTACCCACAAGACACATCTTCCTCACGTGTAACCACGTGCCACATACCACCACGGTATACGGACGGAAGACGTGACATAGTTTCTAACCCATCCTAGCCATAGACAAGAGTACCGACCCAACCCCACCTACGGCCGGAACCTCCGGGACAGGTAGGCAGGACTGAGCCCCTAGCAGCAGGACACCAGCCCTGTGCCATGACATCTCGACTACCGGGCCGTAGCTCATGTAGCCTTCATTTGCCCTAGAGATGTCCATCGACCCCCGACTTCGTCCATCTCCATCCGTGTACTTTTGTTTATAACCAGACTGAGCCACAAACTAAGCCTTACCCACTAGACATGTGGAAGTACGGTAGTGCTTTGCAACAGAGGCCCGAAGACCGGTCCTTATATGGCCGAGGTGCTACTATCAAAACCATGCACCCCGAGCCCAGCCTAAAACCATTTTGAGGATTTTGAGAAGAGGAGGAGGTGTGAATCCAATTCCACAATAATCCAACCATTCCATAGTGTCCAGGTGATAAGAATATTCCCAAAGTTTAGAGTTGTAAAACCACCTAATGTTGCCTAATTAAGCAGCGAAGCATCTACCTAAATTCATACTAGTGGTACCATGGATAGAGTATCCACTAGTTGGGGTTTTATTTATTCTAGGGTGAACAAGGTAATAATAACAATAACAAAAATAATAAGGTCATAACAAAGGTAAAAAGGCATGGCTAAATAAAACAGTGATAACGCGGGAATATAAATAAAGCGATAATGCAATAATTTAAATCAAAATAATTTTATAAACTGGGATTCAATATGTTCAAGGATGATGTGACTTGCCTTGCTCGCTTTCCCAAACGTCGGCTTCAACCTCCACGTAGAGCGGATCTTCCGAAGCTGTAGCGTCTGCACGATCAACGGAAAGAAAAAAGGCTTTTACTCTAATAAACTCCATATAACAAGCAGGAACAAAGCACAAAAATGGGTTCTTAACTTCTTAAGGAAAAATTAGAGACTTGAACGGTCCAATTCCGAGTTCAAATGGCCAAGTTATGGCCATTTGAAGTTCATATGCTCTTTAAATGAATATTTACGAATATCTTCATTTAAATTTTAATTTAAAAATGGTTTATTGCGTCAGACGAGGGGAGAGGGCGCGCGGACCGGGTCCATGGGAGTGGGGCCCACGCGGCAGCCTCACGGTCCACGGTCCACGGTGGCCCACTCGGCGCGCCCGAGTGCGGCTAAGCCGGCGCGGTCGGCGGGAGGCGGCGCACCCCGTGCCCCGTTGGTCGCCGCCGGCGACCACCAGCGCGGCGGAGCGGCGGCCGAGAGAGGGGAGGGAAGGGGGAAAGGAGGCGACGGTCCACGGCTCACCCCGGGGCGACGGCGGCGATGAGGGAGGCGGCCGGAGCGGAGGGAGGCGGTGGCGCGGCTCGGGTTGATGGGGTCGGCGGCGCTCCGGCGGTCGGCGACCGAAACGGAGAGGTGGACGAGGTCGGCGAGGATGCGGCGAAGCCAAAGGAGGCGGCGCCGAGGTGGGAGGCGGTCCGGGGCGACGATGTCGGCGTACAAGAGCTCGGCGGCGACGGCGGAGAGAGAAAGCTGACGTCGCGAGCGTCGAATCCGGTCGAGGAGGAAGGGCGGCGAGAGGTGGAAACGGTCGGAGGAGGTGCGGGGAGGGTTTAAATAGGGTTGGAAGGGGGAGAGAGTGGCCGGGGAGGTAGGAAACCGGCGCGGGAGGTCCGGCCGCCATCAATGGCGCCGGCGAGATTTGCGGGGGCAAATCCGTCCGTTTGAAACCGAGAGAGAGAGGGAAAAATGGGGGGAAAGGAAGAGGGAATCACGGGGAGTATTTCCCCCCACTTTATTGCACGCGGGGACGGCGGGATGCGGTGGATTCGCGGCGGCGGCGGCGCTAGGGCGCGGGCGAAGCGGCGGAAGCGGCGGGAGCGGCGGGAGGTCAGGGATGACGGGTGGGCCCCACCCGTCAGCGAGGGTGGCGGGCAGGCTCGCCCGTCAGCGGCGCGCGCGTGGGGAGAGGCCGAGTGGGCCGCGGGGAGAGAAGAGAGAGAGAGGGGGAAGGAGAGATGGGCCGGGCCGGCCCAAGGGAGGGAAGGGGGACTTTTAGGGTTTTTCTTTTTATAAAACCTTTTCAACTTTGTTTATTTCTTAATAATTATTATTTGTGCTCTGAAAATTCCACTAAAATTTATTTACACATTTTAGGCTTTTAGGGAATATACAAAAATCCTCTAAGCCTTATTTGACTTTTAACTTTGCACATTTTAATTGTTGGAGGCTTTCACAAGGATTTTAATTATTCTAGCCATAATTTAAAGGATATATTTTTGGGTCATTTTGGGACGTGACATTGAGCATCACTTCCAGAAATGATCTTTTGGGACTTGGTTAGGTCAGCGACATTCTTGATAGCCGATTTAAGCCTTGCTTTTTGCTCTTCGACAGATTTTGGGAGATCGGCTAGCTTTTTGTGCTCCATATCCAATTCAGCATTGCATTCTTCAAGCTGTGCCAAGAGATCGTTCTTGCGGGCTTCAAGCCAATCGATATTGGATTTGATTGGACCTTCGGATAGCTGATCGAGTTTGACTTTGTCTTCATGCACAAGCTGCCGATTGACTTGGATTGTGGCTTCAATCTCTTTGCGCTCACGGCGTTCGGCTAATCTTAGCTTGGCTTTTTCTAGTTTAAATTGATGCTGCTCAAGATAAGCGGCTGCAGTTAGGACATCGGCCAGTTCTTCAGGAATTAGAGCTTGTACTTCGTGCAATCGTGTCCTAATCGATCCACAGTCGACCACTAAGCTATCCAGAGAAGAGGCCTCTAGCTGACACGAGATATCTTCAAGTGTTTTCTTTGCATCGTCAGATAAGGGAGCTAGAGCTTTGCTTGAAGTATCTTCTTCTGCCTCATCAAGATAATCTTTGATATCAAAAGAGAAGAGATCGGCTAGAACCTGCAGGTATAAGTTTAGAAAGTTTGAGAGCTAAGTCAATATAGTCGATCTAAATTCTTGCATCAAAGGAAAACTTACTGGGATAGCAGGAGCAGCCGATTGTTCTTCTTCCACAATATGATGACTCCCCACGGCCGATGGAGCTCGGTCACTCGATGATTGTTGTACAGGAGAAAAAGAAGGAGCAGGCTGTAAAAAGACAAGTGTTAGAAAAAATCGGCTGAAATCAACTAGTAAAATTGAGAGTGTCTTACTGGTAGAGCTGGTTTGAGAATTGGAGCTGCCGATTTCTTTTTTATAGCAGTTTTCTTCTTCTGTAACTACAAAACCTATGAGTAGTTGGTTGAAGAATAATGATTATAAAAGGGTTTGCAAGGAAAGATGTTTTACTCTGAAGAAGTGAGTGGGGGCAGAAGGAGTTGAAGGTATCTGCTTAGGCGAAGCCGATGGTGTTTTTTCAGTATCACTTACTTCGGCTGCAGCCTGATCAACATCATCCTCAATATCTTTTTCATCCACAGCTTGTTCAATGGATGGATCCAAAGCAGGCATGTCGTCGGTTGGCTTGGTTTTCTTAGACTTGGCCTTTTTCTTTGGAGCTAGAGTCAAGGTGCTCACAACCGATGATCTAGTTTTCCTTTTCTTGGTTACATCGGTTGGTTCTCTGATGGCGCCTTGGAGGAGGGTTGAGACCTTGGGGGCATGATAGCCGATGACAGGGGGAGACAATTCGCCTCCATTAGGAATCAGACCTGGGGCATATTCATTGTTCCTACCAATATTGCTCTGATGTGGACGGGAGGACTCTGTTGTCTGCAAAACAGGGACAAAAGATTAGTCAAGTAATGAATCGACTAACCGTTATGAAATTTAGTGATGACAAAGTTTACCTGGGGTATGATGTCAGGGAATAGATCTGTCATGTACATTGTGGCCAATTAATAAAATAGATGCAATTTCCATTCACCCCACCATCTGTCAAAGTTCCTGCTCCTGAATCTTGCTAACTCAATATTATAGGGTAATAGAATTCGTAGGAGACTTGGATATTTCCTCCTTGGTGAATACCGACAGGTAGGATGCATGGGCTGATTGCAGCTGTAAAGACTTCCCTGGACGTTTGATATCTTTCATGATTGATGTCTTCAAATCTGAAGTCTAATAGGAGCTCAAGGTCTGCTGAGTCTTCATAAAGAAACCAAACCTGGGCATCTTTCTGGAAGCCTTCAAAAAAGCTGCAGAACCAATCTTTGAGCAGCTCAGCCGATAGTTTTGCACCAGCATCGGTTGGTGTGGATGCATATTCTCCATATGACATGGATCTGCGATGGGTGCGTTCTTCTCCATTGTCTTCTACAATTGGGTCCAACCTTGGGAATTCAGCTTCTGTTACAGATGGCCGATTGACAACTTTCATGACTACCAAGCTTAGCCAGGTCTGCAGTAGCCTCCATGGTCCACCTGCTCCAACTATTGAGCCGACGGCTATCTTAGCCGATGCATTGTTTAACATTTGGTATAGATAGCCGAGAAGGATTTTGCCTAAGGGAAATTGTTTCTTTGATCCTAAGGCTTCGGCTACAAATTGCCAATTGGTTGTGGGACCACAGCTGGATCCACAGAAGAGAAACTTTTCTAGCCACATAAGCAAGAAAGCTACGTACTCCCGAGGTGTGACAGGCCCTTTGCCCATGTATGTCGCTACATAACCAGACCACCCTCCTATGCTTTTGGTCTTGAAGTCAAATTGGTTCTTGGTGTTCATACTCGTAGGGTTAGCTGATGAAGTTACATCTAATCCAGTAATCATGATAATGTCTATCAAAATTGGAGTCATCGGCCTTTGGTTAAATAAGAAGGCATTGATGGTGTTGGACCAGAAATAGGTGGCGGTAGCCATCAGAGGTTCATCCTTAGCAGAATTGGCTATGGTGAGAGCAAGCGCTTGGCCTATCCCAATCTCATCCCAGTGGGCTTTCTTACTAGCCGATATGCGTTGGTACCAGGTGGTCCAGCTCTTATCAGGGGTAGGCTTTTCGAGAGATGGCCAAGACTTCCAGTGACCCAAGTTAGGGTTGGCTAGTCTAAAGGGGATTCTGTTGGTTTCACCAATGATAAAATCAGTGGGGTCAAGATTGCCGATTGGGCCAAGAAAATAGTAGTTTTTGTGCGATAGGCTGGGAATCATAACTAGATTGGAAAGATGCTGCAAATCCAAAGGAATCGGGAAGCAGAAAACATAATAAGAAAAGGAGAAATCGATTTCATGCGAGGAAAAGAGATCTAGCCGGTGAGAACTTACCTCAGCGTACTTGGCCAATGGCGCAGTAGATGGGCTAGTAGAAGACGACATCGCCGTAGGCGGAGATCTGATCAAAAGCGAAATCGCCTGGGGATCGCTTTTGTGTCGGAGGAATCGCCGGAGAGACAAAGGACAAAGTTTCGCTTGAGCGGGAAAACGGAAGTCACGGCGTGAGATTTCTCGAGGGCAATGGTTGGCATTTAAAGCGATAGAATAACGGTCGAAAAATGGCAGAGTGCGAAACTTGCTCGGAGTCGGTACAAGGCAAATCCGGAACATTATCAAATATCCCGGACTTGGGGGGCATGTGTTAACGACCAAATTTGGTAATATCAGCATCGGAAAAGGAGATTAGATCAAGGTGGAGTCGAAGGCGGAGATTAATCCGAGAACAGAGCAAGAATCAGCTGAACTCCAGATCGGCTACGATTAGGATCGGCTGGGTCTGAATCGGACTAGGTGAGCCGATGCAGCCGATTCTGATAGTATAATTTGGTGTATGACATTGGGTTGAATTGAGGTGCTTCAAGATGATTGCCGCACATGGATAGAGTCCTGAGAAGGCAATTGTATCTATTAATTAGGATGTTTTATGTAACTTCCTTAGAGATATGTTTGGGCAAAAGTCTGCCGCAAAGACTTATGGTATCTTAGAGTTTGTTAGAGATAGTGGTTGTGTCCGGTATGGACATATCTTGTAATTCTTGGGTATAAATAGACCCCGAGCCCTATGTAATTGGTAACACACACGTTCAATACAATTTCGGCGCATCGCCACCTTTTTGCTTTAGTTTTGTTTCGACGAGTTCTTGCTTTTGGGTTGAGCTGCATCGGTTTCGATCTTGAACAAGAGGTAAAACTTGTTATGACGACTTGCGTTCTCGAGATTAGTGCTTCCATCTTTATGACACTCTAATCTTGTCTATATAATTCGTCAAGTTATCATATATCCTACATAATCTTTGGCAATATCATCATCTAACCTATAATCGGCTAATATCTGTTAATAGAAGGCAGCCGATTAGGTTAAATAGCGACGTTGTCCTAGATTATATAAGATATCTACCACTTTATGAAACACCCAACGGCTTGATTGTCTAGATATTGTTCTTCTTTTCATACTTAATGCTGCATCAGTTGAGTTTGATCTATTAAGTCGTGCTTAGAATATCAATCTCTAGCCTGTCCTCTGGTTGCCGATTAGGGTAGCATCGGAGTTTCAGCCGATATTATCTGATTTAACCATATTCGATCTATATGCTTCAATGACATGTTAAATCTGCCCTCTATGTCAGGATCTTATTGCATTTAAGTATATTAAGCTTTTGTTTGATATATTATACTTGTTTTGATATCTTTATCTAAAGTAGTATCGGAGTATTAGCGGATACATGCTAGATCTATCTGATTGGCTATGCTATAAACATATATAATCATGTTATTAATATATATTTCGATATAAGTGATTTATACTGTCTCGGCATGGTGACCGATCTATCCCAATCACTTGATTTAAGTATATATTAATATAAGAACTATATATCGTTAATATCTACAGCCGATCGAATAGATTTAGTTCCTTACTATATATTTATAACCGCCGATCGATTCACATATGACATCGGCTTAAAGATAAATGATATGTCATTGGTACCTAGCCGATCGGCTATCATTTATAGATTTAACCACGAATTCTTTGTCTCTATTTCTTGTTGATTACAGGATCAAATCAACTGGCACGCTCATACATTCGAAGGCGAGTTTTGGACCTGCACTGGAATTAAGCAGATCTCCCAGGCCTCGTGTTTTTTGCCAACAGTATTGTACCTGTATATAATTTGCGCATAGTTTTGAATAACCGAAGATGACTGGCGTCGCGAACTAGCAGTTTGCTGAAATCTCTGACATATGCAAACAAAGTCGGAATTATACTGGAGCGAGAAGCTCCACGACACCATTGAACCAAACGCACTCTGTTCATTGACTCGATGAGATTGATCTAGCACTTCAACCTCTTGTCAGTGCCTCCAAAACCTACTCTGATGAAATCTAGCAAGATGGTCTTTCTCCTTTTCTGTTTGAATTGTCATCCTCGTGTACTTAGACATGTTGATCTCATTATGCAAAGTTAATCTCGCGAGTTAAATGTTTGCAAGTCCATAGTCCAGTTGGAGCAGAGTTAGTCATTAGTTGGAGCAGAGTTAGTCATTGATACCCTTTCACTTCTTTCAAGAAGTATCAGGGCCTATGTTCTTGGAGACCATGGGGAGTTGCTTCGACAAAATTAAAGTATTAGAGAGCTAACGATTCATAAAGAAACCCAAACTTATATACAAACTTTCCGGTCAGTTTTAGTCGACTTACACCCTTGATTTTGACTGTAGGGAATCAGGTAGATAAATTTGTTGAAAAGAAAATTATGGATATGTGATCTTTTACTAATCATCATTGGGCATGTTTTCTTGAATTCGCAATAACCGATGCTCATTTGGTTTGTCTGGAATGCATGTTTTGTTTTTCCTCACGGTCAAACCCATGAGCTATCAGAGTCCCAGTTCCATTGATTATAGAGAAATTAATGCTAGTAGTTCTGATTTCTTATAATAAATAGTACATTGATGTTAGAACAAAATCCAACATTCATGACAAGAGCAAGTCCAACATGTATGGCAAGAGCATCCCTCCAATGAGAGGGAGCCCAAGTTTGATCCCGTGAGAACCACGAGAGTGGATCAGAGAGGATGAGAATGGATGGAATGGGGGAGCCAGATCTCCCTCTCTTGCCCTTGAGGGCTTATTTTATTCATATGTCACAGGAAATTATATTTATGCTCTTGATTTGCTATATATGTACAATATCCTCTTGAAGGTATTTTAGTCCTTTTATACACCAGTTTATACAACACTTTAAGTGTGGGGTTATTCCCTAACAATTGACACAATACTCACGTAGGTCTCTAGTAGAGGTGTAAGGTAAAGATGTACCAACAAAAAAAACATTCAGTGATTATCACAGTGCACTGGTTTGTATCACCCCGCAGTAGCGAGTTCCTGCTGTCGTGAGTTGTCATACCAGAGGAAACAATTCTGAAGATGAGTAACCCATCTTTTTAGTGTATATGGTGGGCCATTTCTTCCAGAGGTTTCTCATTCCTACCATTATTTCCTCATATATTGCCAATGCGATTCTTTTGGGAGGAGAAGAAAGCATAGTGTATGATCAAATCTATCTATCTATTATATACTAAAAATCCATTAAACTTTCTACAAATACTCTCAAGCTGTCAGGCACACTTACAAACACTCCCTACAAACACTCTCAAGCTGCCACGTGGCACACCTACAAACACTCATGGGTTGCCACATGGCACTATCTGATCTTACCGTCGATTTTCAATTAAATTGGTGGCCCCGATATTTTCAACCATTAGATTAGATTTCTTATTAAAAGGAACTGAAGTATACGTACACATGATATATATCCACACCTACGTACGTTAAAAACAAACAAAGCTTACCTTCTGTTCCCGAAAAGAAGAAAAATAGTACACACGTACTTACGGAAAGAAAAAAATATAAAGTAGGAAATACATATGTGATATGTACCTGTAACAGCAATGAAAAAAAAATCAACTACAAAATAAGATTTTCTACCGTCAATCAAATATATTACTTTACAAATTTACGTAAATATATACAGTTAAACTAGATATATAATATAAATATAAAATATTCAATCTACACTGTTTAAACGTTCAGATTATTTTAAAATTATATATCCACATAGCACTATCTATTCTCACCGTTAATTTTTATCTAAATTAGTGGCTCTAATATTATAGACCATTAGATCTATTAGTTAAAAAGTAATACATTTACCATGTATCCGTATAAAAAATATATCTGTATGTACGTATGATTAAAGAAACCAATATAGCTTACCTACTATTTGAACAGGAAGAAAAAAAAAACAGACGCGTACTTACTTAAAAAAACGATAGAGCAAAAAAAAATTAGGCACATCTAATACGCGTGGAAAAAATCGATGGTCTTTAAACTAGAATTTATTTTCTACGATTAATAAAATATATTTCTCAAAAAATTTAGCAAATATACACAGTTAAACTAGATCTATAAATATAAATATAAAATATCAAATCAACTCTCTTTGCACGTTGTCCTAGAAATTATTTTAAAATTATATATCCACGTAACTCTATATAGTCTCGACATCGATTTCCACTTAAATATTATTAAAAAAGTAATATTTTCCTCCTATATACTTATACATGAGAAATATATCCGCATGCATTTTTGATTATCTTACCTGCTATTCACATGAAGAAAAAACATATGCGTACATCTAACATATACCAGTGGAAAATAATCGACAGTCTTTGAAATTGGATTTTCTACAATTGATAAAATATATTAATTTACACATATAAACAAATATACGTAGTTAAACTAGATCTATAATATAAATATAAAATATCCAATCAACACTCTTTAAACATCCTATCTTTTAAATTATTTTAAAACTTATCTATTCAAATTACGATCAAGTTTAATTTATTTATTGCGACGAGTAATAAATAAAAGCACAACAATGTGTACAAAGTTTAGCAAATATACACAGTTAATCTAGATCTATAAATATAAAGTATAAAATATGCAATCAACTCTCTTTGCACGTTGTCTTAGAAATTATTATAAAATTATGTATCCACATAGCATTATATAGTCTATAGTCTCACCGTTAATTTTCACTTAAATATTATTAAAAAATTAATATTTTCCTCATATATACATGTACATGAGAAATATATCCTCATAATTTAATTAGCTTACCTGCTGTTCACGGGAAGAAAAAACATATGCGTACATCTAACATATACCAGTGGAAAATAATCGACGGTATTTGAAATTGGATTTTCTACAATTGATAAAATATATTAATTTACACATATAAACAAATATACGTAGTTAAACTAGATCTATAATATAAATATACAATATCCAATCAACACTCTTTAAACATCCTATCTTCT